TGTAATGCCGGAGCAAGTGTTGTACTACACGGTGTGAGGGTACCCAGGGAAGGGTCGCATCTCCGTCACTGAAGCCAGAGGCAGCGGTGTCTGTCACCCACCATGCCCGCTTCGGCGGTGTAGCATGCCTGACATGTGCGAGGATCTGGGTCCTCGGCAGGCCTAAGGGGCCCTGTTGCAAATGTGCCCGCCCTAAGTGAACACGGGCCTAACAAATCACGAGAGGCCCTCAGCTGTCAATTTCGTATTTGGGGTCCCGACAGTTGTGACACGCCAGTTGGTTGAGGAAAACACAGGCCGAGCAGCAAGACATTCCACGGCCTTCCAGGCCTTTCCAAAAATGCAGGCCCTGGGCGAGAATCGCAGCCTTATACACAGACAGTTGGGACGCCCAAGGCCCAATGGCTACAACAGAGGCGCAGCCTCCCGGGGCCTACCAGAAGCTTCTGGGCCGAGGCCCAGGCCAGCCAGGCCGCAAAGGCAGGCAGGCTCTTTCCATATAGGAAGAGCTCGCGGCCTGGAGAGATTACTCACGCACTTGCTGGCTGGCAGCAGCGCTGCTGGAGCAATCACTCGCGTGCTGGCTGCTAGCGCTGGAGCAAGAGGCTGCGCACGTGCGGTCGTGTGGTGAAGCAGGGCGCTGCTAAGGGCAGCGCCATAGCCCGGCCTCCATAGCTGGCTGTGGGCTTGGACATAGAGTGAGGCGCAAGGGGGTTGTCTTCGGGTGTACAGAGGGAAGACGTGGGTGTAAGTCAGGGGAGAGAGAGACGGATGATGATGATGTGAGGGCACATACCTGGTATTGGCGATGGTCTGCATGGGCGACATCTTCAAGTACTTTGTGGGTTGCTGACGTCAACAGTTGCATTGTCAATTAGTAGGCAGACAGAAGTTGTGTAGGAAAGTAGGCTCGGCACCGAGCGCCAAGTAGGGAGGATCTGGACACTAATGTTGGTGGTGGCAAGAGCAAGCTCTCATTGACATTGGTTTTCAGTGTTACGATTCTTCATTGGTGTTATATTCGTGCAATTCTGCTTTCTGGACACTGTGATCCTATCTGGCCTTCAATGTGATTGTGCATTCTGGATTTGTCATCTCGCTATTGCTCATTTTCCTTGCACACGTCCCTATTTAAAAAAACTGATCCAGCAATCCCTCCTGCTTTGTTTCCATAGTCCTCCGAGAATTCTTCAATCAGCAGGCTGCTTTCCTATCGGTGCTCTCATATCTTGACATAACCTATGGGCCAGTCTTGAAAAGTTCCTCTCTTGTGAACCATCGGTCTTCTTTAGGATCAATATGATGTAGCTGGGCACGAGCGCAGTTGTCCAGTTCGCACAAGAGCACAAGGATTTGCACCCTCGGCATGCCCCTGAGGTGCCCCGACAACAAGCACGAGCCTGCCCTAAATGAAGGCCGGCCCCCGAATTTACAATGAGGCCTGAGTTTGTCAATTTTGCAAAGCTTTGGTGGGCGCCAGACAGTTGCCACACGCCAGCTGGTTACATACGCCTTGCTCGTGAGGTTCATAAATATTTGTGAGCCTTCTAGGCTCTTTGTTGCATACTGTAACGTGCAGACCAGAACAAGAACCGACCTCTCAATACAAAGTACAAGATAACACAGCGGAAGACTTAGATACGAATGA